AAATAAAATAAAAATATATAACACAAACCTATAATAAGAATGACATTTATGCTTAAGCAGAAGAAAATATTTACCTTCATTATGAAATTCATTATCATTTTCAAASATTGGTGGTGATAAACAATTGTCAGAATTTGTTTCTGTTAGTAGCTGATCTACAATACATTTGATATTAATAATTGACAAGTCAGTAAGCAATAACTGTGTAATATGGTAATCGGAATAAACATCCCCAGCCTACATTATTACTCACAACCACAACATGAAAATGATTTTAATATTTAATTACAAATAGGTATACTATATATTAAAGTTATCAATCTAAAAATATGTAATTACAAATAAATATACTATATTATATTATAGTTATCAGTCAAAAAATTAATATAGGTATTATATAATGTTATAAATAATTTTAAATATAAAAAAAATTTTCGAAAATAATAATCACCGTTACTCGTTAGTTATTAGATTGTTTTCTTATATTGTGGCTTATTGAATAAAAATCCGGAATATTTATTCTTCCACTAATAAACCGGGCACAAAGTTCTTTTAATCTTACTTCCGTCCGCATCTGTCCAAGTTTGGTTGTTTTCTTATTGGTTTACTGGAGGAATGCTTCGAAGACGAAGCATTGGACTCGTTTTTCCTATTCTTTTAAAAGATCCATTAACATATGTAGTATCAAAATATATTATAAAATCTTCTGCTCTAGTTGGTATATTTTCTTTTAACCACTCCATGCCATTTTTAACATCATATAAAGGAAGAAAAGCTAGACTATCAACCATAGTACAGAACTTACGGAATGCTTCGTCTTTTTTATAGCGTTCGGACAAGCCTAATTCTTGTAATTTTCTATACGTTGATTGACAGAGGTGGTAAAAACATCCTCGAATCGTAATGTGGCTGCCTAAGATCAGTTTTGCTGCATTCATGACGGCTAGTTCAAAATCCATGTTTAAGAAAACGGGATCTGAGTATTTTCCTCGTTTTTCACACTCGTTCATTACAGTACGAAACAAATGTTCATAGTTKTATTGTGTTTTACGTTCAAGAATAGAGTAAACAGCTGTAATAAAAATTGAATTTTTTTGAACTCGAAATACGTACAGTTGCTTAAAATATTCAGGCGCAAGTCCAAAATTTCCGTCTATGGACCATGTATTAGATCAGTGGTCTTCAACCGGTGGGTCGCGATCCATTTTTGGGTCGCGTAAGCTTTAAAATTGGGTCGCGATAAGTCTTCTTTTTAAAATAAAAATAAAATTTTTAATATTATAAAAGGTAAAAAAATAATTTTTTAATAATTAAATTTAGAAATTTAATAAATGAAAATATAGTTTAAAAATAGTAGTGTATGTTGTGTATTAT